CTTAAAAATTCCACCACCTCCGCCGGGTTTGAACCCGCATACCTTGAGTCATGAGGTGGGAACGTTACCCCTAGACTACGGAGGCCGCTTTACCGACATAGATAGTCCCATATATCTAAATAAGTAAAAAAGTAAATGGCCAACTAAAGAGATAACCAAGTGAATAACTAAGTGGGCAAACTATTAAATGCTAAAGAAACTAACTTATCCAACAACAAAATAATGTCAGGTGACTGAATGGCTATAGGCGGGGTTTGGATTAATGACTCGATTTATTGCTCACTTTAATACAGCGCGTGACTACACTTTATATTTCACTATTACACACACACTTTCGTCCACAGCCACGTCTTCGCAGCCGTTGCTTGGTAGCGGCTTCGAACGGCTGACGTTCCCTTTCCTCTGGGTTCCCGAACCATCACCGAGCCTCAGCTATCAGCTTCTAATAACAACGGCTCAAAACGACTGAGAAAAATTCTGAAGAGGCTAAACTTTGGCTATAACTTTCTCAGTTCATCGCCTACTTCATCTCTCTTAGGTCAAATATTCGCCCCCAAAGCCTGAACTCCTCTTACGCTAAGTCCCTGGGACATAACTCAGCTCTCTCTTCCTTTAGTAACGAGGTCTGGTAATACTGTAAACACCAGACAGAATAAATCGCTTGCAAATAAATTAAATGCCATCGTTTATACAAAACCTATATTTATATAACTAGGCCCATTTTATTTTTCCCCTTGGCACTACAGCCCCAGTGGGCCTAGGTCTATCTCCATGAACTTCTCCGTTCACTTCGCTTTTTCTAGATCTTACACATTCCGTAGGACTCCTTGGGCGGGTGATCAGCTCGTCTCAAGGCCTCTACCTGTACACAAACACAGAAAAACGCACACACACAAACTAAACATCCATGTCCTGAGTGGGATTCGAACCCACGATCCCGGTTTCCAAGCGAGCGAAGACAGTACATGCCTTAGACCGCTCGGCTACCGTGACCGGCAACTAGGCCCATAGAAACACATAAAATATAAGAACAAAAGCAGCTATACAAACTGGCCATCAATTTGCATAGGGAAGAAGTTAATTAGTTTCTCTGTATTGAAAGATACTGACAGTTTCGGGTTTGTGCCACTCTTCTATTTTCCGTCTGGTTTTCTAAAGTACAGTTAACAGAATGGCAACAGCAACGTGAAAAAATACTCAATCCGTTCCTCTTATACCTTACGGTGTTGAGGTTTTTTTTTTTCTTCTTCCATTTTGATCACTTTACAGACCGTAGGACTCCTTGGACGAGTGGTCAGCTCGTCGCAAGGCCTCTACATAAACACACAACAAAACAAACACAGAACAAACACATACACGTACCAAACATCCATACCTTGTGTTGAATACGAACCCACGATCGTGGCTTCCGGTCGAGCGAAGGCAGTACATGCCTTAGACCTCCCGGCTACCGTGACCGGCCATGAAAGAACACTAAATAAATAATATATCATATCAGGGAACGGCTTTAATGAAAAGATAGCGTAGCGGTAAGGATTTTCATTTGCATTTAGGATGCATCTAGTTCGAATCTCGACCGGATCATTGCATCTCCTCTGTCACATAATAACCCGGATATTATAGTTTTTTTTAATCGCTTAGTGGCGGGTGGAGTCCAGCTGGGTCCACTCGGCACGTCGGCCACTGAATGGGCTATTGTACCTGCCCCGGGTGATTATGATGATGGAGAATTTGGTGGAAAGAATATTGGCAGGGGAAACCGAAGTACTCTAAGAAAGCCTACCCCAGCGCCACTTTGTCCACCACAAATCCCACTTGACCAGACCCGGGCTCGAACCCGAGGCGCCTCGGTGGGAAGCCAACGACTAACCACTTGAGCCATGACGTGACCTTATAGAGCTTTTACTATAAGGGCCTGCTGTGTTGCCTTAGGACGGCCGCACACCAACAGCGTCAAGACCGTCAAGACAAGCATCAAGACATGAGACAAAAGACGCTGTCTTGCTTCATTCGTGATTGGTCAGCATCAGGACTCAGACCGGTGTGCGGCGATTTTCATAATCTCAAGCGTTTCAACTGTGCTCCTTTCTTTGCCTCATGTCGCAGACATCGTGTCTTGACTGTTACAGGTCTTGACACATGCCGGTGTGTGGCCTACCTTAAGCTCGTCGGAAGTCCCCTTGAACCAGTCTTGAGAACTTCGCTTTCCTGGCACGTTCCAGCGTCACAGACTGGTGACCCTGTACTTCCAAATGAGGCACGACTCTCTCTCGTTAAGCCTTTATTTACTCAACGGTCATTATCATCTCGAAATCACTGCGTAACTTTTGCATTTGGGCCACCGTGATTCAGCTAAGAAATAAGCAATGAGATAAATAAAATAATTTTAAGAGAAATTTATTTAGCAATATTCATAAATATACAAACATTATGTAGTCTTCGTTATCTCTATACATTCAGAAATGGAATCATTTCCGTAAGAAAGTAATACAGCTAAGTAACTAACTTCATGAAACTGAGCCCTTCTTGAGAAGTCGCCATTTGTGCAGCTACTCAAGAACTACCCAGCATTTTATGGAACCCGAAGGTTCATGACCATGTTCACAAGAGCCCTCCACTGGTCCTTATCCAGAGACAGATCGATCCAGTCCATACCACCCTATCCAATTTTTCTAAGATCCATTTTAATATTATCCAACCACCTACGTCTTGGTCTTCCTAGCGGTTTCTATCCATCTGTCTTTCCCACCAATATTCTATATGCATTCCTCTTCTCACTCATTCTTGTTACATACCCTGCCCATCTCATCCTCCTTGATTTAATCATACTAATTACACTTGGCGAGGAATACAAGTTATGAAGCTCCTCATTATGCAGTTTCCTTCAACCTCCTATCACTTCACCTCTCTTCGGACCAAATATTCTCCTCAACATCCTTTTCTCAAACACCCTCAGTCTATGTTCCTCCCTTAATGTCAGAGACCAAGTTTCATACCCATACAGAACAACGGGAAAAATTATAATTTAGTATCTTCTAATTTTTATGTTTTAAACAGCAGACGAGAAGACAAAAGGTTCTGAACTGAATGGTGGCAGGCACTACTTGAATTCAATCTCCTCTTAATTTCCTCCTGAATCAGGTTTTGATTTGTTATAGTCGCTCCCAAATATCTGAACTGTGCCACATTTTCAAAATATATGTTACCTATCTTTATGTCCTGATTTATCCTGCATTCTGGTGACGAGACAGAAACATAATACTTAGTTTTCTATGTGTTTAATTCTAGAGCAACCTCCTTACTAGCATTAATTAAAGTTTCTGTGACTTTCTTTATGGTATCTATGTTACCTTCCAGTAGATTCACACAATCACCACAGATCAATAAATGGAATGTAAGAAGCCTGCATGAGCTCTGGGGTTGTACCAGCAAATCAAATACATCAATAATCCAGAGAAGCCAATCAAAAATACTTCGAATTATAACAAATGCACCCTGGTATGTAAGCAACCAAACGTTACATTCAGACTTAAATATACCATACATCAAGGACGTCATCAGAGAAAAGAGTACCTCACACCACAACAAACTAGCAAATCACCCAAACGACATCCTACAGCCACTCGTTGAACCGCAGCACAATCGAAGACTCCGAAGACACTGGCCAGCTGACCTAAAAGAAAACTAATGAGGAACCTCCCACTGGGGAAGGAACTCACCACGTCATTAAAGAGCATCACAGCTCTTACGCCAGCAAACTAGCTTATAGAATTGTAGATTCTGATTGCTTAATAAATATATAAATAAAAAAAAAAACTGCATAGGACAGGTTCTCGTATGACAGTTGCGAAGGGACAGAGGTGGCACTGAACCAGCAGGCGAATATACATTTTTCTATGTAAACACGAAAGAGAATCATGAATTGGGTACAGGTTTTCTGTACTCGTGCACAAGAGAATCATATCAGCAGTTTAGAGGGTAGAGTCTGTTAGCGATTGGATGTGGTACATAATATTAAGAGGTCGCTGGTGTGATGATATCGTTCTGAATGTTCACGCCCCAACAAAGGATAAAAATGAGGATGTGAAGGAAAACTTCTACGAAGAACTAGAACATGTATTCGATAAAGTCCCTAAATACCGTACGAAAATTGTGTTAAATTTCCAGATGTTCATGAGGAACGTATAGAAGACATACACACGCCAGAGACACAGCGCTGGGTATAGAAAGGAGACTGGAATACATGCTCTCAAACAGGAAATAAAGACACTGAGGGAATGGATTTTTATGGGCCCCTAAGGCTGAATATTTGGATGAAATAAAGCCGCATAATATTGTACAAATTTGCATAAAAATGGCTTAAAAGATAAACAGGAAAAGATGACAGATGCCCAGGCAGAAAAGTAGCTCCGTCGCAAGTCAGAAGACTAAGTAAAGGTACGTTCACTGCAAAATACGTAATAAAAGTTCAAACACTTGTCTGGTCATTAAGAACCGATGAATAATGAATCTTGGAACCGCGTCTCCACTCCGCAGGCGGGCCCCGTCCTCTCCACGTGAAAGCTCTCACGAGGAATGCAACAATGAGGCTTCACATTAGCCCTCGGGAGAAACGTGACGTCATTATACTAAACAATAGTCAGCGCGTACCCTCTACAAGAAGGTTCGTTGGGCGAGCGTCCAGTCCATGAATTTTCGCTTTGAAGCATTTGTAAAACAGACAAGGGTACAGAATTTTTGATGCAACAAGAGGAGCTGTAGCCGTATGTAAAATATCGGACTTGGCCGTAATCCGGACACAGAGAAAAACAAAGGGAAAGAAGCAAGAAATGGAGAAGATGAAACAACGAAAGCGAGAACACGAAACTAAGAGAAAGGAGGAAGGAAGGAAAGAAAGAAGAAAGAAAATGGAATACTAGGCATACTACACCGAGATTAGGTGCATGAATAGGCTGGAAAAATAAGAGGCCTCGTAAAATAATTTAACAATAGATGTAATAAACAATTTATTTTATATTTATTCAGACAAAACATCATAAATTACACAGTCATCGTACTATTTATATATCGTTCACGATGTCGTGGACATAAAAGCACAATGAACAGCTAACGACAAAATGTTGATCAACCCATTTGCTGCCCGAGTGGCAAGTTCGTTTGCGAGTGGTTCACGCTGCATCCAACAGTTACCTCTTTGTTTTACATAACAGGCCGTCATGAAATCAGTAAAACAAAACATTTTGGTTGATTATCAAGTGTGCCAGAATTTCTCAAATGGCTTGTTACAGTCATTAGCTGATCGCGAACAAGGCGTTCCTACTTCTACACTCGTTGACTTGCTTATATTTATAATTACTACACAGTGAACATATTGAAGAAGATTCACGTGAAGAAGTTCTATGCGATGTGTAAGAAGCCCTCTCAGCACTTGGACAAGTCAGGCAGACGCGACTGGCACTTGTTACGCCAACCGTACCAGGCCCTGAAGCCATGCCTCCGGTGAATCTTCTTGGCACATTGGATATCGTCAGATATGTTGTTGTTCGTCAGATCTGCAACATCAGTTAAATTAATTAGGCATTATATCACATTCTTTGTGTGAGTAAACCCCTTCACTCACACATCCGCACACATACATACATGCGTGCATGAACTAGCGTGCGCGCGCACTTGCATACAGACAACTATTATCGCATTACTCGATTATAAAAAAGAATCCGTGGCCTATAGTCCTCAAGCGAACTATACTGACCGAGCGACCGCCGCTTGTCGGTGAAATTAGTGCCAGCTTTTGAGGACAGAGTGTATCGTGTGGTCAGCGCAACGGATCCCCAAAAATAGCTCCTCAATTATCCTCAAGAGGCTGGGTGGACCCCGTTCCAGACCCACTACTTCTCAGAAAATCTGGTAGCGCCGAGAATCGAAGCTGGACCTGTAGCCAGGAGCTCTTACTCTTTTATAACATGACTATCACCGCAACCGCAGACACGGTGTGGAAACATCTGAGGTTAGATTCTGTGTGACATTTAAGATGAAATTTGCTTTAGAGATTATACACAGAAATTAATAAAATATTTGCATTTATAGGACTTAATTTCGGAATAAGCCGTGTTAATCTAAAACTGTTTATCTATTTCGGTTATTGCTTATTATTCGTTTCTTTAAATGGTAATGCAATAACAAGTTCTATGAACCAGACACTTAACGAAGAATAAAGCTACATAGGGCAAAATCCCATTTCAGAAACTGATGGTTACTCAACTGATAAATAAATGTCCGTCTTTTATAGAAACAGAAGATTCACAAGAGCCAAATTTTTTACTTAGTCTGAGTTAGTTCAATCCAGTTCACATCTTCGCAACCTATTTTTTTTGATCTCTTTTAATATCAATCCCATTTACGCTTATGCCTTATAAAAGGTCCCTTCAATTTAACGCTTCTGGTTCGAGACTTGTTTTCCTCGTCTCTCTATTAGTGTTACGGACTTCTTCAAGGATTGCCAACCTCAGTGCCTTGGAATCTTCTGAAAAGACATCTGCATCACGCGGTGCTGCTATCTTTCCTTTCTCTTTTCATTATTCTTTCTCCCTTTGTCCCTTCCATTTTATCTTCATTCTTATCATCAGTACTATCTGATCTATCTTTATTCGTAATTTGTCCGTGCAGAAAATTCGGCACTACAGCTAGGGAAACATATTTGTTGTTCATGGCGGTAACTTACACTCAATTTTCTGGGTTCCTGGGCTCACACGTCATTTCTATGACCTTCAGAACACGTTTCTTTGCCACGGACGCTACATATAAAGTACATAAAGGTTAGACACCGAGGGTAGCCAGTCTCGTAATGTTGCTCTTATGGAAAAAGGACTGGGAAAAAGAAACTGACCCACACTTAGAGTCCATACACGCAACACCAGAGTTGACAGTCTTCAAAATGTTGTTTCTCCAAGAGGAAATTTCCATTTACATTTTTTTTTGTACGGCGCGCTGTTTGGAAGCAACAGGGTTGGACGAACCTTTGCTATGATTACGTCTCCCTTTCTCTCTTAAACTGCTCCTCTTATCTCTTGCGGTGTCGAGGTAAGTAAATTGTATTTCTCGTAATCTAAAACAGTAGGTAGGATTCCCTGGACGGGGGATCGGCCCGTCGCAAGGCCGCTACATAATATAAACAGAAAGAAACACGAACAAACACCCATGCCTTAAATGGGGATTCGAACCCACGATCCCAGAGTACAAGCGAGCGAAGACAGTTCATGCCTTAGACCGGGCGGCCACTGCGACCGGCGCTACTATTACTGCTAAGTTAAAACTGTCCCCGTTCTTAATTAATTAGGCACCATACCACGAAGACATATGAGGGATCATTCTTGATTTTGGCACTAGACGGAGGTGAGGGGTCATCTTCACGCCCAACCCGCTTTATTCCATGGAAAGAGTCGCATATGCCCATTGGATAGGAGGCTGGGTAGGTCCCAGGAATTCGAACCCCGACCGTCCAGTTTGTAGCCCGTCGCTATACTGACTGAACTATCTCTTCATATTAGAAAATAAGTAATGGTAAACGGTAGCGAGTTAGAATTAAAGGTATAACATATTGTTGGGTGTAGGCCCCCGTTGCTAAGCGGTAACTCTGTAAACAGCGGCCGTTGCTAGGTAACGCCCGCAACATACACCTACACAATAATAGAATCACGATGCTATGCAAAGATTGCGACGAGATACATGCGAATCCTGATGACGTCATTGGATTTTTCAATTGGCCTAATCCTTCCAGCAGCACTATGGCACTGGGGTCCACTCAGCCTCTAACAGAAATAAGTACCGGAAATATTCCTGGGGGATAAAAAGGCGGCCGGCGCGTAAGGCTGACAACCTTACCGCCATCTATAAGCCGACTGTCTAGAAGATGTGGGAGCCTCGACCTCTCATACCCCTACGGGCCTTACCGGCCTGTCACAGGGATAGCTTTACCTTTTTGTTTTTTAATATGACTTGATGCAGTGGTGTCTAGCCACGTGGGAAAATTTTACATTTACCTTAATTCGCTGCCTACTTTCAAAACTCACCTTCGCATTTAATATTGCAATCTCCTCCTCTGCGTCCATTTCTACACCAGTATTTGTTATTGATCTGGAAAGAAAACTTTAATGAGACGCGACACCAGAACACTGCACAGGAATTCAAATCATCACATGGCTGTGCTGGTTATGCCAAAGCAAGCACCGAACTAGCTCCAATTTGCAGTCTCTCTAGAAAATCTTATGGTTACGAGACTGGTCAAGATAATCTGCGCTCGTGAGAGCTAGAACGGTCAGTGCCGTGTTCACGAAAGCACGCCACTGGTTCATATCCTGATTAATGTAGCTCAACTCATTTTACTTTAAGATTTATTTTGATGTCATCCCCTCATCTGCGTCTAGGACTCCCAAATGGTCTCTTATCTTGAGGAGCTGAGTAAAAAATTTAGTATACTTTTTTTTTGTTTTCCAAATTACATAGGATATGCCTTCTTTATTTACTTGTATTAATTTCTTTAACGGCGTTTCCTCGACTGTGTAGGTTATATACCACTGAATGGAGTGTGACAGATCAATATGGAACAAAACATTTCCGGATAACTGACGGTACTGTTTCACCCTCAATGGAGTGATAATTAAAGTTTGGTTTATAAAGAGCACTTCGATTCGTATGAAAATGTTCACCACGTCCCAGTACCTAGAGATCTGTGTTCTTACCTGGAATATTCCATAATCTCGACTGTTGTCTCTGTTTGGTCTTCCTACTGCGTTGGAGTTCATTCCACTCTCACTCTCTGCCATGCACACCCCTGGTGGATAGATGACACACTTAGAGTAGACAATAAAAATCAGTGCTCTTACTCAAATTTCACAGCAATATTCAGCACTTCACGCACCATTAAACCGATTAAAACGACTTGGCAGGTTTTGTTATAGCCCAGACGAACTGTTTCTTGGAACCAGCATATTAAGAAATTGCATCCCAGTAAATAATAAATAAATTTTTTGTATGTTTTGAATAGAGATTTTGATCCTAATTCCTGCTGACTGTTAAACTATATTTCGGAGCGGCACTAACAAATCAAATTTATATGGATGAAGAAATTAAGGGCAGATTATTAATTCGGACTATGTTTTCTGCCATCAGTTCAAGAGTTCTTTGTTTTCCCGTCTGCTGTCCAAAACCGTAAAGATTAAAATATGTTACATCGCAGGTTTAGCTGTTTTTGATATGGGTGTGAAACTATGAAAGAAGAGAGACTAAGGTTGCCTGGAGACAGGGAACAGAGCAGAATGTTTTGATCTATGAGGGAGGAAGTAACAGGACAATAGAGAAAACTTGGCGGCTACTTCGGTGGGTGGGTACGAGCATGGAGACACTTCGGGTACGGTGTACCTGAGCTACCTGCAGACTATAAGTGAGCGGTCTGACCCCTGATCTAGTTAGCTACCTCTGCCTACAGCTGCTCTCTCCACCTCGCTAGCAGGTTGGCCTCTCAAGAGCGTCGGTAGGTCTCCGTGACCTTCTACGGCACCGGATTCGAGAACATGGTATCAGGAGGGGTCAGAGTTCCTGGCTACAGATTCAGAGATCCCGGGTTCAATTCCCGGCGCTATCAGATTTTCTGAGAAATAGTGGGTCTAGAACGGGGTTCACTCAGCCTCGTGAGAATAAATGTGGAGCTATTTCAAAGAAATGGCGGCTCCGGTCTAGAAAACCGAGATCAACTACCGTGGGGATCCCTTGCCCTGACCATGCGACACTCTCTATCCGCAAAAGTTGGGCCTAACTTCGCCGACAAGCAGCGGTCGCTCGGTCGGCATAGTTCGCTCGCGGACTAGAACCACGGAGTCTTTTTTTTTATCTCTACTGGTTTCTGCCAGGAATAAACTCGAAACACAAGGTGATCTATTTACATTGTTATTAATATGTTACAATATTTACAAGGATGTGTCTGTAGTGTATTGAACTAGTTAATTCCATCCCATCCATTGTACACATCGTAGGTGTGACCCTTCTAATACTCTCTGGTCATCTGATCACACAGGGTGGATACATTTGCTCAGGAAGGCTGGTGTAGCTGCCCTACCGATCCCACGGTGTTGCTGCTGTCTCACTGTGGGGTGGCTCGACTGTTGGGATACGCGCGATGTCTGTCGTGCAAATTTTCACTAATAATATCGAAGTGGCCAAGGGCACAGTGCTCGGTGGCACCTCCTCAAAATTGTCTATCGAATGGTTCTTGCACATCCCCGACCTAGGGTATTTAATACCTGACTTCTACTAGTCAGCATCGCACTTCTCGCCCTGGTGTTTACGGCAACAATTACTACATGTGATGCCGACAAGCGGCGGTCGCTCGGTCGGTATGGTTCGCTTGCGGACTGAAATCACGGAGTTTCTTTCTTTCTGTTTGATGCAAACGCTATATCAGCGTCTCCACCAAGTCTTGCCCTCCGTTACGCAAGCCTGTTCTACGTCACTTCTCCTTCCTGGGTGCACCATTCTTTCGATTCATATATTTTAGGGCTCCGGGAGGCTCCAATTTACCGCGGTTATGGCCTTAAGGGCATAACACCGCAAAATGAGAAACTTCATAACATATATCCCTCATCATATACAGGAATAGGGTTATCATATCAATGAGGATACGATGGGCGGAGATGATAAGGCCATACAAATTCTGTTGAGGAAAACTGACGGAAAAGGACCACATGAAAAATCTGAGAGAAGATGGAAGACGGCTATTAAAAAGGAAAAATTGTCCCTGTGCTTAACTAATTAAGCAGCACGCCATGAAGGCGTCTGGGGGAATGGGTGTATAGATCTACATTTTCTTGACTTCGGCAGTAGTTGGAGGTGATTGGTCAGCATCACGCCCCGGCCGCTTTACCCCCGAGGAAAAAGTCCCCGGTACCCATTTCATATAAGGTTGGGTGGACCTCAGAGCGGGTCTGGACGACGTAGAGAACAGATAATTCTTGACCCTAGCGGGACTCGAACTCCGATCCCTCGGTAGTCCAGCCCGTAGCTCTATCTCGGCTCACCGGAAATTAAACAGATGTTGAATAAGTATGAAGGGAAGTTGTGGACTGTGTTCATCTGACTCGGGATAGTTGTAACGGGAGAGCTCTCGTGACCATGGAAATAAACCTTCCGGTTCGGATACAAGGCGGTGGATTTATTAACTAACTGAGCGACTGTTAGGTAGTCGAGAAAGGCTCTGCTCCATGGAGATAATTGGTGCATGACAACGTAAACCCATGAGTGTTCTGAAGATGCTGAGACACGTAGAGGAGGCCTCAGTACAATTCCTCTCATTGTTTGGGTTGGCTACAATAAATCAAATCTGTCAGTAGGCCTGCGTGTTTCAGGGCTAAGAAACTTTCATTTTGGGCCAAAATCATTTACTGATTTATTTATTCGGCTTCATTTTTTCAACCAGAATAATTTCTACGTATTACGAAATAGGAAGTGAAGTTGCAAAATGTCCACATTATTAACGGTTTTGGAACATCTGAATTAACTTTTTGTTGGCCGAAATCTGCTCTCTATTAACCTATCAACTTTATTCCGTCTAACCGACTGCTTATGTTACGTGTATTCTACATTTATGTGACGACATTGATTGCTGATGCTTCTTCTAACCTTACTTACTTACTTATGGAGCTGAGCACTTCTTGAGGAGAAGCCAAATCTGCAGCTATTGAAGAATTTCCCAGCATTTTATGGAACCCAAAGGTTCATTACCGTGTCTACAACAGCCCTCCACTGGTCCCTATCTTGAGCCAGATGAATCCAATCCATACCATCCCATCCTATCTCTCTAAGATCCATTTTAATATTGTCTACCCACTTACGTCTTGGTCTTCCCCGTTGTCTCTTTCCTTCCGGTTTTCCCACAAATATCCTATATGCATTCCTCTTCTCCCCCATTCGTGCTACATACCCTGCCCTTCTCATCCTCCTCGACGTAATCATTCTAATTATGCTTGACGAGGAGTACAAGTTATGAAGCTCCTCATTATGCAGTTTTCTCCAACCTCCGTCACTTCACCTCTCTTCGGGCCAAATATTCTCAACACCCTTTTCTCAAACACCGTCAGTCTATGTTCCTCCCTTAAAGTCATACCCATACAGAACCACAGGCAAAATTATAGTTTTGTATATTTTAATTTTTAAGTTTTTGGACAGCAGACGAGAAGACAAAAGCTTCTGGACTGAACGGTAGCAAGCATTACCCGAGTTCAATCGCCTCTTAATTTTCTCCTCAATCAGATTTTGATATGTTATCGTAGTTCCCAAATATTTCAGCTGTGCCACATTTTCAAAACATCTGTTTTCTATCGCTATGTCATGATTTTGCCCTGCGTTTTGGTGACGAGACAGCAACATATACATATGCGGTCTTAGTTTTCTCTGTGTTTACTTCTAGACCAAACCGCTTTTTCTAACCTAAAGTTATATAATTCTGAGTGACATCTCCCGAATTTCGAAATCACATTCTTGAAAACCAACAGGAGGGCACCCTAACATTAAACTTACTTTCATGCAGTGCGCTGTCGTACTGCAAACGAGAGCGACGACCGAATCACAAGAAAACAATTTTTAGTTGAAAAGTCATTACCTAATTCCGGAGAGATCATGGCGGTATAAACATCACAGATATTTGATTCAGGAAACCGCGTCACATACAATGAAATATATACTCACAGTTTCTCACGTCCGTGATGCCATGTTTCTTCAGCTCTGCAGCCAGACCGCAGCGGGTGAACTTCTTGGCAAGAGACGCGTAAGGCGTCAGCAGGAGGAGAACTGCAACTACAATCGCGAAGCGCCTGTCCATCTTGCGTCAGATACTCGCCGCTTACTGCAGCAAATATCGCAAATGGCATCCATTTTATACACACGCAAATATCAGTCGGACTTCCTCATACGTAACAAAGATCGAGTCCCATCAAGCGGGCCTTCCCCGTCAGTCTTCAGTATGACACTTATCTTGGTGGTACAGTTGCACATGTGGGTTATCACGCTGTACGTGACATGGCGACTGTGTGACGCAGCGCAGAAAAAATGTGTTACTCGCACATGAGGTTTGTTGACGTTCAGGGCGACGCAGTTTTGACATTCGTGGGTGGAGAATGTTTACCATCCAATGCAAATGCTTAGCGCCAAAGCATAACTCAGTACTCGCAGACAATCTACGCAGCACTTTAAGAAAAAACGGAGTATTAGGAACATAAAGCACCAACAACAAAGCAAAACCTTTTTATTGAATTTTACCCAAATTCAGCAACAATTTAGATGTAATTCTAACCAAGCTTTAGCGTCATTTTAAAACAAAGAGCTAAAAAAATACACTGCAGTTACTGCGCATATAATCCAGCGGGTAAAATGTTTATTTCTTATTTCAGTCAACACAACAATTTACAAAAGGTATATAATGATCTTTAAGGGAGGAACATAGACTGAGGGTGTTTGAGAACAGGGTGTTGAGGAGAATATTTGGACCGAAGAGAGATGACGTGACGGGAGGTTGGAGAAAACTGCCTAATGAGGAGCTTCATAACTTGTACTCTTCTCAAGTATAATTAGAATGATCAAGTCAAGGAGGATAAGGTGGGCAGGGCATGTAGCACGAATGGGGGAGAAGAGGAATGCATATAGGATATTGGTGGGGAAGCCAGAAGGAAAGAGACCACTGGGAAGACCAAGGCGTAGGTGGGTGGACAACATTAAAATGGATCTTAGAGAGATAGGATGGGATGGTATGGATTAGATGGATCTGGCTCAGGATAGGGAACAGTGGATGGCACCAAATACAACTTTGTGGTTTTAGTCCGCAAGCGAACTATACCGACCCAGCAACCGCCGCTTGTCGGCGAAGTTGGTGCCAGCTTTAGCGGATAGAGTGTCATGTGGTCAGCGCAACGGTTGCCCACAGCCGTTAATCTCGGCTTTCTAGACGGGAGCCGCTATTTCCTTGAAATAGTTCCTCAGTTATCCTCACGAGGCTGAGTGGACCCCGTTCCAGACCCACTAGTTCTCAGAGAATCTGGTAGAGCCGGGAATCGAACCTGGACCTCTGGTTCTGTAGCCAGGCACTCTGACCACTAGACCACAGAGGCGATCTACAGGGGACCAATACGAATAGAAATTAAAACCACCCTACACATTTCAGTGTAAACCCCAACACCTAGCTTAATCGACATTTATTCACATGGAATTCGATATTCTCACGGCAGTATCCATGAGCCTTCTTGGGTGAAATGCCATGTACTTATTAAGTACGTACCAACGTTTCGGAGAAACCTGCTGCCTCCATCAAAAGGTAGCAATCTTCGAAATTCATTCACTTTTCCGGAGGTCAAATAAGAGGACATATGAACCGATGTGTATGACCTCACCAGTATGCAAGTTCATGGCATGGACTTTGTGGCAAGACAATTTTCCTGTAAGAGGGTAAATACGAACTTACATGCGTACTGAATCCGAATTACGTATTTCCTATGTGACTTCTGATCCTCTTTTAGCATTCTTTCTCATGTAATTCGTATATCAAGGCTTGTACTATGTATTTTAAACAGAACGTGTTCAAATACCCTCTTTGCTAGTCTTCTATTCCTAATTTTGACGTTCATTTATTGCACAAACAAATGAAAAGCAAAGCCAATCAATTATAGACGTCACACTACATAGAAATACATTATTACTGTATAGGGAATGTGGTTAAACATTCAATAAATGAGAGTTGTAAACCTTAATAAAATATGCTTTATATCACGTATCAAACTTTTGTACGATGAAATATCTTTGAGAATATCGACGCTTTCTATTGTGGCTGCATGAAAAGTGAAGGTTTGTTAAGCGACAAGCACAAAAAAAATAAGAACAGCCTATAAATTTTAGTTCACAGATCGAAGTAACAAATGCAGCAAAAAATTAGCAATTTCCGAAAACTCGTAAGCGCTTTGTAAAAAGAAGAAGAAGAAGAAGAAGAAGAAGGAAGCTTAGAATTTATCCCAAGCCACACTGAAGAATAAAACAGCAAGTTCCTCTGAAATGTAGGTAATATTTAATTATTTCCACACGGTACTATAACATCAAGACTATGAAGTACATTTGAACTGAAGTTAAAATCTAAATAAATACGGAAGATAATTTGTTTGACTGATGTCGCCACATGCTGCAAGAGACACGAATTCTTGTACTCTTGTGACGTCATGTCCGGCCCGACCATTATGCACAGGTGTGTGAGTTGACTGTGAGCGGCATTCAATTGTTATCCACGTACGTGGGGAAGTCCTGACATTAACGAAGTTTCAAAAATGCATGAAATAGGCACACCGCACACACCGACATGTTAAGTAGGAAAGTCAACTGAAATTCAAGTTTTTATCGATATCCAAGAGCTTCATAACTTGTACTCTTCTCCAAGTATAATTAGAATGATCAAGTCAAGGAGGATGAGGTGGTTAGGGCACGTATCATGAACGGGGAAGAAGAGGAATGCATGTAGAATATTGGTGGGAAAGCCAGAAGTAAAGACACCACTGGGAAGAACACGATGTAGATGGGTGGATAATATTAAAATGAATCTTAGAGAGACAGGATGGGATGGGATGGGATGGATTGGATTGATCTGGGTCAGTACAGGGACCAGTGGAGGGCTCTTGTGAACACGTTAATGAACCTTCGGGTTTCATAAAATGCTGGGAAATTCTTGAGTAGCTGCAGAATTGGCGGCTCCTCAAAAAGCTTCAGCTCCATGAGCAAGAAAGCAAGTATCGAAGACGTTTAAATCAATATCGAATCGCTCCATCAGTTAAGGGCTTATAGAGTTATTCAAGTCCCTAATTGAATTCAGCCTTATGCATTGTACATGACCTTTATTTTTATATGCATGATCACCTGTGGGAGGGGAGAAGTCAGGCATCCGTTCTACCCCACCTGGATGTTTTAAAACAACCAAAGGTAAAAAAGAAGGAATACAGCAAATATTCTTGCCAACAGATTAAAAATTATTTTAACAGCATTTCTCTGTCCGTAATACAAAATCGTTTACCAACTTCAACAACAAATCCGCTAAACCCTAACGCTGTAAGCAACATTTTCTATGTGCCCCCCCTTGGACTACACTGTGGATGCCCCCTTGAACAAATTATACTAGCGCTTATTCATATTCGTCCTGTAAATTGTTCTAGGCCTACATAAATATAAATTACAATACAGAGTATAATTCTAACGGATATATTATAATTTTTAAAATGTCAGGTTCCAGTCTTAGGCAATATTTATTGCACTTGCTTACATTATCCAATTGTGAAAGCTATTCGCCTTGTCTGCATAGTGTCGTGTCGATTTACAGATATCAACTGCCATCTCCCCTAGTTAACGCTGCAGAAGGGGTAAGGTAAGGGTAAAGTTATCCTTGTGCTTAACTAATTAAGCACTACGAGATGAAGACGTATGGGGGAGTGGGTCTATATATCCACATTTTCTTGGCCTCGGCACTAGTTGGAGTTGAGCTGTCAGCTTCACACCCCGGCCACTTTATCCCCGAGGAAATTCAGCAAATGAATGATCGTGTTTAATGAGTTTTAAGGGACTAGGGAAAAAGATGTCGTGACATATTTCAGTGCCTGGACCGAAATTCGAGTCGGGCAGCACCCGAATACATGCCAGAACCGTTACCGCTTGAGCTAACCTGCTCCATTTGAAGTTACATGTAAAAGCATTTAACATAGTGTGGATACATCGCCAAATGCCTATTTATTTTGTGACGTCTGGGTTATTGCGGAGGTAAATACGGAAGACATCTGTTTTGTAGGATGTGATGGTGTGCAGACTTGCAGAAATGCACCGTCATCCTGGAGTAGCCTGCTGCTTCCATCTTCAGGCAGAGTGCAATTCCTCCAGAAGACAGGTATCTAACTTCCAAGTTACGCGATGTCGTAACCCAGAAGGCGGCAATTTTGGCGTACAATATTGTCACGTGTTTCCTAGGCAACGCGACAAAAAATTTACGTGAGTTTCCGATTTGGACGAATATTTATTGGACAATCACTCTTTTACACTCATAAATGCAGTTATTCGCGCTTATAACGTCTTCGGACGTTTCCTCTTCATTGTTACAACACTCTCGCACCGCCAATCTCGGTGAAGTGTCTTCTGCTCTGCTCGGAGCTCAACTGTACTTAGCTCTCGTCGGATACACACTGATTGGTCTCCAGTCCAAGTCACTTGCGACTGACAGTCAGTCAGTAAGTCTTGGTGTCGAGCCTCATCTGGGACTCATGACCAGATATTTATTACTGTTTGGCATTTACGGTCTTGTTTTTGTGGGGCGTCTCTCTAACGAGAGGACGGATCTGCCTTTTGTATATGTTGCTGGCCCTTGCCAGTGCAATCTTTCTCCGGTCTGAGTCCCTTGGGGCTTGCGACCATATTTTACTCTCTCAGATTTGAGACTATCCTTTTCGTCGCCTCCTATGACTCGCAGGTATTCGACCCCGCCTCCACACGGGGCTATACTGGTCTCTTCTCGGATTTGGACTGTTATATCCTGCACTCAGACTGAATAGAGAACACCTTGTCGAAGGTTTAATTTCGCTCACTGCTATGCAACGAATCTCTTGTTGCCGCGGGAATACGTGTCTGCCTCAAACAATTCGTTTGTAACGGTGGAAACCCCACCGCTAGACTTTAATCTCCGGGGCAACGATTTCCTAGGATTCACTGCCTAATAATTTCTAGCCATTGACTAGTGCTTGACGTCTTATAGTCCGGTTTTCAGGAAGTACGTCACAATATTTAGTATATAGTTCATGCTTGAATCGTTTGAAGGAAAGTGAGAGTTATAAATTCTTTCCAAAGCATCTCATTTGCA